ATATTTATTATTCCTTTATGTATTAGACAAGTTGAAGTGTCTTTTTTATCCAATTTTGCCCCGCAAACTATGCTTTCATTGTTTGTATTTTACTTATAAAATAGATTTATTTTAGAAATTCATTCAGGTTCGAGCAACATTTTATAAAAGTCAGAGCTCCAGATAATTTTTTTACCCCAAAGTGTATTTACTCCCTAAATTTCAAATCAATGCAGATTTTGATTTTCATTTAAAAGGTCTCAGAGTATTTTGTTAATATATAAGTATTTTGGAAGAGGAAACAAGTAAATTCAAAGAATTGTGGTCCCCCGCTTTCAGTGTCTTTGTGGGTGAGATATCAATTTTATGATATATTGTGTCTAATATGAACACCCTATCATATGCACATGTCAAGTATGAAAGCCCTATCTCTTCTCAATATAAGGAACAAAACATGTTTGTGAAACACTGGTAACCCCGTATGGCAAAATAAAGAAGATTTAACTTTTCTTAAATGCAAATTAAATATATTATTACCCGAAATAGGATTTTCAGACAAGAAATACTATTGTGAAATACAAATCCCTAACACCACCTGTTCAAATGTTATGGTCAAGGATAACTTTTTTAAAGGTAGGTCAAACTCTAAAGTGAAAGGATCTGAGTTGTTGATTTCTTAAGAAAGGTCACAAGTAATTCATATGTGAATGATGAAAACCCGAACCCTAACCGTTCAAAAGTCACGACCAAGGTAATTTTTTTTAAAAAGAAGGTCAGTCTCCAAGGTCAAGGGTAAAAGTTCTTGGTATCCAATGAAAGGTTTTCTCAAAAGGATTACATATGTGAAGTACGACAGGCCGAGCCCTTACCGTTCAAAAGTAATGGTCAAGGATAAAGTTTTTTCATAAGTACGGAAATCTCCAAGGTAAAGATCAAAATTGTTGGTATCCAATGAAAGGCTTTGCCACAAAGCATACATATGTGAAATATGAAAGTCCAAGTTTCTACCATTCAAAAAATATGGTCAAGGTTAAAGTTTTTTCATAGGTACAGAAATCTCCAAGGTCAAGGTCAAAAGGTCAAAGTTGTTGGTATCCAATGAAAGGTCTTGCCACAAAAAATACATGTGAAATATGAAAGTCTTAGTATCTACCGTTCAAAAGTTGTGACCAAGGTCAAAGTTTTTGAAAAGTAGGTCAAACTCCAAGATCAAGGTCAAAGGGTCAAAGTTCTTTGTATCCAATTAAAGGCCTTGCCACCAAGAATACATGTGTGAAATATGAAAGCCCTAGCTATTACTGTTCACAAGTTATTGTCAAGGTTAATGTACAGAAATCTCCAAGGTCAGAGTCAAAAGGTATAAATTGTTGGTATCCAATGAAAGGCCTTGCAACAAAGAATACATATGAGAAATATGAAAGTCCTAGTTTCAACCATTCAAAAGATATGGCCAAAGTAAAAGTTTTGAATGTTTGTGTTAAAGTGGATCGAACGCCAAGGTCAAAAGATCAAATTTGGTGGCACCCAAACAAAGGTCTTGTCACAATGAATACACATGTGAAATATGAAAGTCATAGCTTCAATCAAAAGTTATGAGCAAAGTTAAAGTTTTTTTGACGGACGGAGAGATTGACAAACTGACAGACGGAGAGCTAGACAGACAGACAGGCAGACGAATGAGATTTAATGTCCCCTCGCTTTGGCGAAATATAAATTTTGAAATAATAATAAGTGTTCAGAGGGATTATAAACCTTAACAAAGCTCATATTTTTAAAAAAACCTAGAATGGCAACAGTTTATCACCTACTGAGTTTATTATGTCCTAACCTGATTACTGGTTACAGTTTTCATAAAGGATGTCAATAACACAATAAGGTACAGCATACTCCGATAAGGGAGATAACTCTTAATGACATAAATGTCTATCATTTCTTGTTAGATTTGCCAATTTGAAGTGTCAATAACAAAAAGTCCCAAAAATTTGCTGTTCATTATACTACTATCGCGAATCCGACTGTGGGACGTGGAGACCAGTTCTTCGGATGAGACCGTATAGACCGAGATCCCTTGTTTCAGTATAGGTACTGGCACGAAAAAGAACCCTCACTGCTAAATGGTTCTGAGTGTCGTGTAAAGAATAAAATATGCAGCTCTCCACTGGCAAGTGGTGGCATCTCCATATGAGTGATTTTTTTTTTGTTTTCACGTAATTTTTTGAGTCTGCTGCTCATAAAATTGTGAAAATATTTTCTCCTTTATAGTAACCAAACAGCTAACTGAAATTAAAGTTTTATGAAAAAAATTATCTACTGTAAAAGTACCTTATAACATAATGATTACTAATCAATTTCTAAATAACTCTAAAATTGAGTTCTCACCATTTTGATTCATTCAGGGCTATTTGTTTTTCGTTTTTCAAATGCCTGTGTAGTTTTTTTTTTCAAAGAGTGGAGGCGGAAAAGCAACCTAAGATGAAACTCTCTTGACTTCAAAAATCAGAAAATATAATCTATAGTAAGTACCAATGAACTCGCCACTTCCTATGACTTTGATGCAAAATTTCAACAATTGTCAATTTCAGAAGAACATTTAAATGGGTACAGTTTATTCCCAAAACATCATAATGTGTCATCAAAAACATTGTTCTAATATGAATAAATTGAAAAAGTACCCAACCATGATCTTCGTAAAACCAACTTTTAACAGAACTGTACTTCAATTTTTTTTATTTTGAGGGTTAAGTACACGTTATTCCAATAATTTGTATAAAAAAAAGAGGCCCATGGGCCACATCGCTCGCCTGAGTAAATTTGGTGATGCCATTCTTTAACAGATTTCCTCCTTTATAATACCTATTGTCGCCTCGCCATATCCCCCCTTCCCCATGTCACAATTTTAACAATTTAGAATTTACACTACCCAATGATGATTCCACATAAGTTTCAGCATTTCTGGCCCAATGATTCTTCAGAAGAAGATTTTCAAAGTTTTTTCCTATATATTTCTATGTAAAACTTTGATTCCCTATTGTGGCCCCGCCAAACCCCCGGGGGTCATGGTTTTAACAATTTAGAATTTACACTACCCAAGGTTGCTTCAACATTAGCTAAGCTTTCTAGACCAGTGGTTCTTGAGAAGAAGATTTTTAAAGTTTTTCCAATATATTTCTATATAAAATTTTATTCCCTGTTTTTGCCCCACCCAACCCCCGGGGTCATGATTTTAACAATTAATAATGTACACTACCCAAGAATGCTTCCACATTAGTTTTAGCTTTTCTGGACCAGTGGTTCTTAAGAAGATTTTTAAGTTTTTTCTATATATTTCTATGTTAAACTTTGATTCCCTATTGTGGCCCTGCCAAACCCCCGGGGGTCATGATTTTAACAATTTAGAATCTACACTATCCCAGAATGCTTTCACGTAAGTTTCAGTTTTTTAATCACCCCACCCTATTTTTGTCTTTTCTTGATTATCTCCCCTTATGAAGGGTCTTGGCCCTTCGCCCTTCATTTTAACAATTTAAACTCCTTTTTACCTTGGATGCTTTGTACCAAGTTTAGTTAAAATTGGCTCAGTGGTTCTTGAGAAGAAGTCAAAAATGTTATGAAAAGTTAACAGACGAACGACGACGGACAAAATGTGATCAGAAAAGCTCAATTGAGCCTTCGGCTCTGATGTGAGCTAAAGATAATGTAAGAGAAAGTGAATAACTCACGCTTTTTAAATTTTTTTTTTCAGATCATTTTGAATACATATGATTTGACTGTAATAATTTCTTAGAAAATTACAGGAAAACCTATTTGTTCAAGTAACCAGTCACTTGGTTTTATAATTTACTACTCACTGCTTATTAAAGTTTATCTGATGCCATCCCCAGTATAAACAAATTATTCTATAAACCTTCTTTTCCTTTATGGTGTTATTATATTTCCTTGGCAAATATGATTTTAAAGATGTAATTCAATAAAGAAATCAAAATAATCTGCAATTAAACCTTTTTATTGTTCACAATCTTCATTGCTCAATCATTCAAAGTTATTTGTGATGGGTTTCAACGAATATAAAAAAGGGTTACTCATTAATATTTAGAAATAACATGTTGTGTTAATAATGTAATCTGATTCAAATAAAATCGACAAAATTGAATACAAAAGTAATACTTTCCTTCAAAAATCTTTTCTTATGAGTGAAAAAGTTAAGTGTCCATCTGACAAAGTGAATTGTAATGACACAAGTCTTCAGCCAATTCATAAAAATAAAGAAAAAAGTTTTACTCTACATGTAACAAAACTACATCGGTCATGGAAAAAAAACACTATCAATCTACAATATCCGTTTACTGTGTGAAGTTGAAAGAACATGAAATACTATACTGTACTTTCTCTGCTTTAGACTGCCTTTAAAGCATCTCCGCATAAAAAAAACTACAAAAAGGCCGCAATATACTGAACCACATATATATCTGCACCAGTCAACAATAGACATAAGTCTTCAGTTTATCAAAAACTGCACGAGATGAAAATAAAACTTGAAAATAGATGAAAAAACATCAATGGACAACATAATACAAAACCCATCTTTTTCTTCTTCAATTGCTAATTCACATTACTGGAACAATTAGAGTTGTCACCAAATACCTATCAAAATATCTACATCGTATTACTTTTTTTCTGATTCAATTTTTTCCTATCAAAACATAATAATTTTTTGATTTTTGAATACATTGACAATAACCCTCAATATATATCAAGGTGACCACTTTATATAAAATAAAATGCATATTCCTTTTCACAACAGACATAAAAGTATGAGATTGAATATGTATAATTATCTAGTACACGCACATCACGCAAAAGCTGGACAACAAACTCTGAACTATTGAATTCATTTCAGGTACACACAGTGATGTTCATCTGGGAGATTGTATTTACCCTGACTGTATACATAACAACAATCAGGGAGAGGCTTTGTTTCCAAAAGAGAAATTTGTGCAACATAGGCAGCTTAATGACACCACCATAGTGCTTGACCTTTTCCCTGGAGCCTACCGCCTACCTACTGGAGCAGCGTGACACTGGCGACCCCATATGGACCAGAACTCGGTCCAGCCACCGTAGCGGAACGTTCAGGCGAATTTCAATCCAGCAGGGCATACTGGTCACAGTCTGTCTCCTGTAAGCAGAGAATTAAGGAATGACTCTATATAACTTGGCGCTTTCAAAATTTAACACAATCAGGGGAAGTTGAGTTGTTTGGTCCTGACTTTTCCTCGCACAAAATTAATATCTCAAATGAATCTTACTTTCTGTCAATATGATTCTCCTTTGAAAATTGTTCCTATGACCCAACCTAGTTTGTTTCCATAGAAAAGATAGGATGATACTTCCAGTAAAGCTTGTTTAGTATGAACACAAATATTGTGAATTCAGGGATATAGTGAAGTTATAATGGATCCCTACTTATGTAAATTTAAGGAATTCCTTGTACAGATATAGCAAAGCAATTTCATAGGTCCTAATGACTTTGTTTTAATAAAAATTTACTGAAAATGAAATAAAGAGTTCATCATGTGTACTTACCTATACTCAGCTCCCCAGCCCTTGACAAAACTCATACGAATGGTACACATCCTAGTCAGCTGGTACACAGACTCAAAGCCCTGATTGACGGACTGGGTAAGCAGCGTAGCAAACTCCAGGTTATTAAAAATCTTCAGCCTACTACCTTCAATAGAAAGCATTTACAAAATTAATGTCCAAAACTAGACTAAAGTTATTGCTGAGTCAAAAAAATACCATGGACAGTATTCTCTAATAAATCACAAAATTATAATTAAATTATAAGACCAGAACCACATGTAGCTCATGCAGCTTCAAAAATAAATTCAGAGTTCAGTAAAAGGACAATTAAGTTGAGGCATAGGATGTCATTAAATTTTCTGTTTTTTTTTTTTAAATAAAGATTCCACAGAATTATTACACATCAAATGTTCGAACTGGGTATATTTCTTTCTCATTTTTTTTTTACTTTTCAGACTCCATTTGAATTGATAGAACAAAAGTGTGGATTTACAACCATTTGTTTTAATGAACAGATATGGTGTCCTGAACCCCAAAATTCTTCTGAGACACATGATATTGTGTTTTAACGTCTCATCTGAAGGGTCTGTCCAGGCGTCCAACTGTGGGATTCAAACCAGCTATGTAGGGATAACTCCTTACTAAAACTAGAGAAAACGCTCTAACCCCTATACCATGTAAGCATCCATTCATGTATGTTGGACTCACCTTTAGGTATTTTATAGACTGTTGCTGGGGGCCAACCATGAATCTGATTACAGATGGGGCTGTGTACAAACACCTCACTCTCACTGCGGCATTCCGCAAAAACCTCGCCTCCAATATAGTACAAACGTACACCTTTACCTGTAAATATACACCCAAGATAGGACAGACGCATACCCTTACCTATAAATAGACACCAAATGTAGAACAAATGCACATCTTTGCCTACAAATACACAACCAATGTAGTGCATAAGCAAACCTTATATAAACCTATATGGCGGGGTGTCATATTTATCTTCTGAGTTAAGTTGATACTAACCTATTTGGCGGCGTGTCACCTCTATCTATACTGAGTTCTACTGATACTAACCTATGTGGCGACTGCTAAGTTCTACTGATACTAACCTATTTGGCGACGTGTCACCTCTATCTGCTAAGTTCTACTGATACTAACCTATGTGGCGACGCATCCTCTCTTTCTGCTGAGTTCTACTGATATTAACCTATGTGGCAGCGTGTCATTTCTATCTACTGTTTTCTGTTGATACTTACCTATGTGGTTGCGCGTCATCTCTACTAGCTGAGTTCTGTTGATGTTGGACAGTAGTCCTAGACAGAAGCGTTCAGGATTGGAAGGACAAGTAAATCCATCCACAGTAAGCGAGGGCTGAGAGGCATGAAATGTATCGCCGACGCGATTATTCAATTCATAGTATGTAGTAGAACACCAGTATGGAGGGTCTATATAGGACACTAGCTCAGCATCTGAAGATATCAAGATAACAGTTTGATTATTATGTCGAATAAAATATTCCTTTGGTCACCTTGTGTCATATTATTCTGTTGAAGATTTTCAGTTTCAGAGCAAAACATTCCTAACCAGTGCTTACACTGTGATGTCATCTAATGCTAATGTGACATCATTTGTAAGGCTCCTTGTGAGGTCATTTAAAACTGGGTATTAGGAATTCCTTAGTAAGAGACTATTATTTAATCCTATCAACTTGTTTTCTTAATAATGCTTTAGAAAAGTATGGACAAGTGAAGAGACTTAAAAAGCAGAATAAAAATTTTAAAATACTGTAAAATCATATATTTTCATTGGGTCAAATTTTCGTGATTTGAAGACATAATATGGATTCATGGGGTTTAAATGTCGTGGATGAAGAATTCTAGAGTAGTTATGTATGTAAAATTTTACATTTCGTGGTAGACATAATTCGTGGGTCTCTTCATACCTCGAAAACAACGAAAATTAGACCCCTACGAAAAATAGTGATTTACATTAGATTGAGCAAATCTGAATAGCGAATTTTTATTTAACGGGAAAAACATGTCTGGCACGTGTTGTATGCACATATTTCAAATTAGCATTCTTTTCTCCAATTATTCATCATTTTAAGGAGTCATCCGCGTGGCGCAGTGGTTAGAGCATCTGCTCGAGAGTCGCAAAGTAAGGAATCAATCCTTACGTCGCGGGTTCGAATCCCACTATGGGACGTGAAGACCGGTCCTTCGGATGAGACCGTATAAACCGAGGTTCCGTGTCGCAGTAGGTGCTGGCACGAAAAAGTTCCCTCACTGCTCAATGGCCCTAAGTGCTGAGTATAGAAAAAAAATTGTAGCTCTCCACCGGCAGGTGGTGGCGTCTCTATAGGAGTGAAAAATTCTCGAGAGGGACGTTAAACAACATACAATCAATCAATCATTTTAAGGAACCTCCAAGAGGCTTTTCTCTTTTGTGTCCTAATGACGCCATAAAACTTTTAATAGACAATGTTGAATGGCTGTAAACCAAAAAAAAAAAAAAGGAACAATGAAAATGCAAACACGTACGGTGTAATTGTTTTGTTAATTATAGAACTTAATGGAAAAGAAATGCTTGCTCTAGCTTTGAGTTAGTTGGATATGTCAGGGCATTTACGATAGTTTATGTTTCAAACTGTCCTTAATGTCCCTGGGAAAAGGACAATTATGTTCTATTTTATAGATCAGCCCGTAAATGGACTGATATCAATTCCTTCGCTGGGGGGAGGGTGACACAAATCAGGAGCTGTGCATTTAGAATCAAATCAAGTACCTGTCCATGAGTTAATGGTAGTAATTAACTAATAAAATCACCATATCTGCCACCCCCCCCCCCCCCCCAAAAAAAAAAAAAAAAAATTCACTGGCCCTATTTATTTTAAGTATAAAAAAGAAAGTTGTAATTTTCCACCTCTTATTCTTTCAGTATTTTACTCTAGATATCCCAAATATAAGGATCTCTAAAAGTAATTTCTTAAATTGGTACAAGATTAACTATTTGAGTCAACATGCAGCAGCAAAACAATTAGTCAGGAATTTTTTCAGCAATACAAATGTATGTAAAACCAGATACATAAAAATATGATTCTGGTAAAACATATTTCCAATATTTAAAAAAAAAGAATATATTAATCTACATCTTCCAAAAACTATTTTGATATCAATATAATAAAATAGAAAAACGGCATGCATTTAATTTGTTTTAAAAGGTACGTAAGATTTAAAATTACAATTAATAATAGTAATCAAGTTTTTTATCTATTATATAAGTGATTTTTTTATGTACCTATATCTATGGCTAGAACATATTTTTACTACGATGCACGACTGACATATGTACATGAATATGTATTTATTATTATTTTTTTTTTAATTTATTATTTATTTATTCAAATAAAATGTATTCTTTTAGTTCTTTTAGTTCTTTAATGTGAGATAATGTGATATTACGTGATTTCAGGAAAACAAAAACAGAAAGTGCAAATAACGTGTATATAAAATGTAAATCACGCCTGCTTGAACATCAATAAAAAAAATAATTAATGCATAAATTTCGCTGTCCATTGATTCTAACTATCTCCGAACCTGACCAGCAGTGTGCAATCATGCGTGAAGTGACTTCCTGATACCGTAGCATAATATTCACATATACCTTTCTTGAATGAGGTCACAGGTCATCAATGGAGTTGTGAAGTGGTCAGTGTAAGGGCTCTGAAAATTTTTGTATTTAACAACGATATATTCTCCTGTCCGGGTCAGAAATTGCCAGGTAACATCTACCCGTATATGTATTGACTGACTTTTAAATAACAATATGTGCATTACATGTATTTTACTATTTTGATTACTTTGTGACCGTTTTATTGTTTCTCTATAAGGACAACTCTGGAGCTGAGCTGCACTCAAGTTAGGTTTTGGGTTATGTCTGTGTAGTCATGTCTCTCTCAGATACGGTCCAGAGAATGGCCGAGTCAAATTCACTTATCTATGGGAACACTTCCAACCCCAGTAATAGTGACGGTGAAGTATCATTGCACTAAATTCACCCGTTACTCGTAACACAAAAGTAAGTGATCTGGATTCAGAAATAAAGACCACACGTAACAAATGCAAAGATCTTGAGTCAAATGTTAGTTCTTTGAGGTTAGTGTTTGACTCTGTGAAGGATAATGCGGAAGCGGCTAAGAAACAGGCTGAAAGTAATAAAAACTAGAGCAAAGCTCGTTGCAAAGCAACGAGTAGGTCTTCCGTCCTGTTTGACAGAAGTAACTTTCATTTCTTACAAAAATGAGTAATAACACCCAAAAATGGTTTAAGTCTTCTAAATCTATGTTAATTAATGCAAAAATAAGCCAATTTACTACTTCCGGTTAGACCGGAAGTGACGACGACAGACGGAAAATCAATTTTTATGCTCCCAAGGACAATTGTTACTCAAAACCTTGTCAAGAACGGCAAAAATACTTTTTTCCGAGTACTTCCGGTTTGGCCGTAAGTGACGTCACTGGACGTTTTTTGACAAGCCCAATAGATTAAGCTTGACATTTTGAACAACTTTGCTTCTTTGATGTATAACAAATTTTCAATACTTTTAAATATATTAGGAAAAAAATTCTGACCCCACTAGATCCCTTATTTTAGGGGCCAGTCCTTTTTTCGAGATATCATTTGAAGATCTTTTAATTTTGCACAAATTTTATTCTTCATCTTTTAACAAAATATTTACAAGTAAAAAGATATCATAGAGAAAGTTTTAGAAATTTTGAAACTCTCAATATGACTTTCAGACCATACCGAGCGTTAACGTGCAGCGTTTCCGGTGAAAGTTAACAACACAATGCAACTCTACATATGTTGCTCTATCTCCCCTATAAGTTTCATCTTTCTGTAATGAGCGGTTTTATTAAAGAGCAGCGGACAAACTGACCCTAAAAAATCACAAAACTGCCAAAATCTTCGAAACGGAAGTGACGTCATGAAAATAAAAATAGGGGTATCGAGATTTTTTAATGTTCTATCATACCTGAAAGTTTAATAAAAATCTAATGAGCTGTTTTTGAGAAATCGCGTGCACAAAATCGGTAAGGAAAAAAATAAGTAGAATAGTGAAAAAGAAATCAACGAATAACAAGAAGGTCTTCCGCTGAAGACGAGAGACCTTAATTACACAAGAGAGCACGTTCTGAACGAATAGCAGCACAAAGACAAACTGAGAGAGATCTGCAATTATTGAATAAAGAAAATGCAGAAATTAGATACTCTATCATCGTATAACACAATTAGCCAATGTGTTTGGATTAAGAAGACTTTTGTAAGTTCACAGTTTTACTATAAAGTCACAGCAAAGGTAACAAACAGTGGTACATGGTAAGTTCAACTACAAAGATCTCGGAGCCAAGATGGTGAAAGCTCACATAGTCATTGCATCACATAGGTCTCAGAGCTAAGTTCGTAAAAGCTCTCATAGTTCGTCTCGGAGCTAAGATGTTAAAAGCTATTGATACTCAGTGCGCACATCTTTTGTACAAGAAACTGCATCATAGGGTTCACATATTTATATAATAGTGTTGCATTATGCATGTACTATGCCTAAATAGTAGGCAGGGTTTGACACATGGTGCACGAGCCGGAGGCGAGTGCACTATGTGTCAAACCCTGCCTACTATTTAGGCATAGTACATGCATAATGCAACACTATTGTTATTATTATGCTGACTGTTGTAATTATTTATGCGGCAATCTATTTGACTTTTTCCTGAAAATATCGGTGCTTAAACAGCGCACCTGCAAGAACTAATTCAAAATATTCATGCTAAAATTGTTTGCATGCTTAGTTATTTTGGTTACTAGTATTTTCTCTAAATAAGTCGGGATTTTCTGTCCCAAAGCAACACATCTTTATTTTCTGTTTTGTTCGTAAGCCTTATTTGTTTGCAGACGTCGATTCTCATTGATAATTTTCTTTTACATCCTTCAATCAAGCGTCATATAAAAAAGCGTTTTAATGACCCTATAAAATCAGTTCATCTAACGATCTGTATGTAATTAGTTTGAAAGTTTGTTGTACACATTAATCTAAAGTTCCTTAGAATAATATAACTGTTTTCAAATAATATTTGTCTATTTTCTCCTTCTTGTGTCAATTGTATAAATTAAGTTTATATATTTAATAAAAATATACCAAACAGTGATCGTCTCTATGGCGTAATCGATAAGGCATCGGACTGACAATCTCATGATCGTGAGTTCGATCCCCGGCATGTGCATGGAAGAATTTTATTCAGTAAATAAAGCCGTGCACTATTTCGGCATAGTATGCTTACGCTATATAAATCCTTAGACCACTATGCGAGAATAGTAGGGTATGGGTTATATAGAGACAAACTGACAGGAAGCATAATAATTGGTAATAGCAATTAGTTAGTTAGAGTGTCACTTCATTAATATTAATATTGTCC